TTCACACTGCCACTAATTTCTGGTATTCAACCTTTGTTTTTCACTACCTACAATAATTCAGCTAATTAAGAAATAGCTGTAAAGCTAAAAACTGCAAAAAGCAAAAAAAAAAAATAAAAAAAAAAGCTATCGGTAAAATGGTAACAAACGATAAAAAAACCTAAAATTTCAAGAAGTGAAAAAGAAGAAGAGAATTTGTGACTGTGTGAAGTGTTCTGTTGAAGATGCTCTTCAGATCACACCTTAAACGCTGCTCATTCTTACGCCATTCTCGTATTGAGCTTTCCGCCACGTTAAATTCTCTACCGGCAGCTCGATTTCCAATAACCTTTAATGTATAATAAAAACAACTTATAATATCAAATGAGAAATTAATGCTTAATAAAAATGTTATTCTCAGACTGGCAAAAAAATGTTCAGAATGTTAATTCAAAAAAAAAAAGGACTTAATCACTACATCTAAGCGTTAGTTTTAATGACTAAAAAAAGTATCACATAAGTGCTAAAATAGTTCAGAAGATTACCAAACTTTTTGGAATTGGAATCATGTGATTTTTTTTAGCAGCTAACGCTCAAACAAAAGGTACTCTAATAATTTCTTTCTATGCAGGTAAAAGTGAAAGTCTTAAAGCTCTTGCCTAACAAAATCTATACTCTACAAAAGAATTTATTTACCAGAAACGTTTGTATTAAATAATTTTTTAGACAAAATACTATACCTGCTATAGACACAATTTTATTTTAATAACTTTTATCATTGATAGAATATTAATTAAAATTTAATTCTGCTAAAAAAATTTCTTTTTTTTCGACCGACCATAGTATTAATCGAAAAAGAAAAAAAAACATAAAAGACTATTCGGGCAGCAACAAATTGAACAGTGTTAGCAGAAATTTTGAATAACAAAAACTTTTTTGCAGGTCTTCATTTTAAATGACTGCTTTCAGAAATTTGACTTCTAAAAATCTTTTTATACTTGGAAAAAAAATCATAAACTTCTATTTTGGTTCCAATTCGAAGAAGCAAAAAATTCAAATTAATTTTTTTTACTAGCTGCTTAATGAAACAGTAATGACTTCCAAAAATAACCCTCATCAAAAAGTTCAAACTTGATCTGAACTAAAACGTCTAATGAACAGACACTCAAAAATTTTACTACCAGTTATACAATTTCTTAATAAATTATAAACTTTAAAAAATAATGTTTAAAAACGTTTTAGAATTTAACTTTTTGAAAGATTTTGTAAACTACCAATTACGCTATATAAACTTTTTCTGCTTCAAGTTTATGATTACGGTTTGTCTAAATCGTCGTACTGCAGTGCCGCCTGGCTAAGCTCTAAAGACTAACAGAGTTTGACTAAACTCTAAGTATGTTATAAATGCATTACATTAATCGAAAAACAAAAGAAAAAATTTGAATCAATACGAAAATTTGCTCAGAAAAAGTCTGTTTTACTGTTTTGCACGCCATCTATTTTAAAACATACTTTAATGAGCAGACAACTTACGATTTGCAAACCTAAAATAATTCCTGATTCACACGCAAAAAGTAACTAAAAGTCACCAAAAAAAGAATTCCAACCTTAGCATAATCAATAATATCAAGTTTTTCTTCGAGCACGTACTGCTTCAACTTTCTCCCTTTTTGTGTAGGTCGTTCGTCGCCTGACAACAGCCTCTATAATTTAACAAATTTTTTCCTGATTACTATACACAGCCAAGCAAAAGTTTGATCGGATACTAAACATTTTAATGTTTTTACTCAATACCCCAACGTTAAAAGTAGTACGACTAAAACAGAAGTAAATTTTCTATATTTACATACACACATACATCCAAACAGAGTTCTGCCTCACTTAACCAACTGTGTTGGTAGTAAAAAGCAACTTTTTCAAAGCAAAATTACAAACACTACTATAGTTTTTGTAAACATGAGAGGAAGACAAAAAAGAGAGTTGAGATAAAAGTGCTCAAGCTGATTTTCTGCTACTTCTGAATATGCGTAATAAAGCTTATTGTATCAAACTTGAATCAGATTTTACTAGAATATCAAATAGTCCTATAAATGACATGCGACTCTATTAAACGCGCTCTTCCAGAAATTCCCATAATTTTATTTATAACAAATGAACATCAGTGATCTTAAAATGACAACAGTTAATTCACCTGATAATGTTTTTAGTTCAGATTTTTTAAAAGATGCTACACTTTTTTTGCACAGTTTTTTCGCTACAGTCTTTTTTTAGCACCTAAGTTTTCGAGTTCCTTAACTCACATATTACCAATATACATAAGATAACGTTTATTTCAAGCAATTTACCTATTAATTGATCAGAAAATTACTAATTTGACTTGACATACTAGAAGTTTTTATATAAAAAATGTCAAAAAGCAATTTGCAAGAATGAGACGAATCAAACAAGAAAAAGCTGTCGTTGTTGAGAAAAATATTTAAAATTTTTAGACTAATGTTGCCTACTGAATTTTATCAAATTTGAACAGCACTACCTAGTCAAATTTATTTTTTTTGTGCCTGTCTCCTTTCCAGTCTTATCTTGTTACAAAGTTTTTTATTTCAGCAATTTCACTGTAATTTTTACCTTTGAAACGACCACTTATTTCAATTCTTATATGATATAATTTTATTATTCGAGCCACTTCAACCGTACAAAAAGCTTATTCAGTGACGCTTTCAAACACATAAAATCAAAGCACAGTAAAAAGTCACTTAGCAAAAAATTTCTTAAAATAAAGTAATAAATAATTCACCACTCAAAATTTTAAAACTATTTGTTTGTATAAATTACGGTCAAGAGAACTGTTCAACTTTTTATGAACTAAACTAAAAGTATTAAAAATGTAGCAGCTACATAGACCAACAGAATGAATTAGAGTCTAAAATAATTAGAGTTTTTTTTACTGATCAACTTGACCAAATAAATCTGTTACGGAATCGAAAAACTATTTTTGGACAAATCAGATCTAATTCTACAACTTTTGTTTAGAATCCTATTGCAAAAAATACTATTTAACAAAGCTCTATAACTGAAAAAACTGCTCTTCTACAACTATCATATTTCAAATTTACAAGTTTACGAAGAAAAAAATGAATAATTATTATTTTGATATATTTCTCAAATAAATGTTGACTAACTTAACTTATAACATATTTTACAGACAGAAAGAGAAACAGGAAAAAAGACTGAGCCATCTGTAAATTAACTTGAGTTCTTCCAAAAATTTGTTAATTTCTCTTCTCCAATTATACGGTGCACCATAAAACAATTGTACATTTCCAATTCTTTTCACCATTTTAAAGAGAAAAATCAAACAAAAAAAGAGATATACTTTCAGAAATGTCGTTTAATAATATTTTAACGGCATTATAATAAACTGTAATATCTCTAAAGAAGTGCATTTTGGCGGACCGTACACTTTTCCTAATTTTTTGATCCCCTTCAATTTTGACTAGCCTATCAAATAAATATTGTAGTATCTATCTATTCAGACCATTCACTATTACTATTACTGTTATTACTTTTACTGCGAACATCAACTATTATGAGTGAATAAGACTGTAAAGTGAAATATATCACAATTTATGCTTCTTTTCTCTATCTTTACCTTCATTGAACAGCAACGATGTGCTGTCGATGTATCCTAATTACTTTTAATTATAGATTTTCATTGTAATACAGAGAAATGCCTTTCTCCTCTATACAATAAAACCATTCTTTGAAGACAATATTAACAGTTTCAGTTAATAAAAATTTTTTTTGTCTTATCATTCTCTTCTATATAATCCACAAGAATTAGAAAAAAAAAAA